TTAAATATAAAAGCCTGCTTACAATCGTCTCGAAGCATTTCTTCGGGTACGTGCATCCTTTCAGCACTTTGTAACGAACAAAGGGAACGTATCGAAGCTGTCTAGTCAACTGTACTGTGGAAGGTGAGCTGTATCGAAACAGCTCACCGCTGTAAGGACTCTGGTCAACAAGCTTCACAAAGATAAGAAAGAGGTAGCCTAGTAGTTGCGAAATGGAACGCGTCTGTGTTTGATGACTGGCAGTATAGCTAAATTAAAGAACACTTATCTATCACGATGATTATTGTTAAAATTTAAAGAGCATTAGCCCAATTCAAGCCCTGACAAGCTGGACGGATCCACGCCGTTTCGATCGCGAGCAAAGTGACAGATACAATGTAGATTCGAGTACGGACCAGCTAGCCACGGCTGGCTCGAGTCCAGAAATGCAGGTTGACTCAACGAACTTGATTAGTGTCATGCTGGACACCACCAACTTGAATACGAACAAACTTTTACTGATTCACGGCATAACCGAGTGTGGTCATGCGACTGAGTCCGCGGCGGACCCCAGTACATACGCGCTGGACGCGTCGACGACGAGCTGGAGTATTGGGTAGCTAAACGAGTTCACGACGGGCTCGAATATAAATAAACCCAGAGCTCGGATATAATAATTATAATTTAATAATTGTGGCATTAAATTGCGGAATATCGTATTATTGGAAATCATAGGTTCTCGTAAGATATCCAAGATCATCCGTAATAATTGTATTGTCTTTTTATCACAAAGAAAAAGTGACTAGAGTAAATCTTGTGGTTGAGCAAGACTATATCGAATGGTTGGGTCCAACAGATGGAGCAATTTAAAGCTTGTTCTATACCGACTGCGGTGTCGGTCAGTTCTCTTGCAAGCTGTGCGGAAACGTCCGCAAGCACGCCTCTGGCACAGGCTACACCAACCTTATAATACCGATACGAAATACCATATAATGTTTTTCGAAAACGTCAATACACTTTTATATTTAATTGTCCGAGCACTGGATAAGCCTAACGGTAGACGTTTGCTCGTGTCACAGGTGGACCTGGTTCTCCTTGGGTCATGCTGAATTTGGTGCTATTTTGAAAGGGGAAGTACTTTTAGGTAAACTAATTTTGGGTAAGGCGTCTATAAGCAACAGCATTCGTTGGTACTAAAAAATTATGTTACGTGATGTTACGGAGTTGACCGTTTAGCTTGCTCGTGTCATCCGTTTCGATAATACTTACCCTGTTTTAGATGCTGTGCTCGACTATGTTGTCATTGTGCTGTATACTAAATTGAGAATAGCGAACGAAGCTTGGTTGTGTAGTGAGTGTTGAGAAGGAATGAAATCCGAAAGTGAGATTGATTTAGTTATCTGTTCTTGCTTC